ACCAGACACGAGGGGTCCCTGAGATTCTTTTAAATTGCTTCATAAAGAAAACAAACGAGGTTCGCGTGATTCTTTCAAATTACTTTAAAAACCAGACACAAATTGTCCCTGATATTTTTTCAAACTACTTCAAAAACCAGTCAAAATGGGTCCCTGAGATTCTTTCAAACTACTTCAAAAACAAAACAAAAAGGGATCCACGAGATTCTTTCAAACTACATCAAAGACCAAACAAAAGGGGTCCATGAGATTCTTTCAAATAACTTGAAAAATCAGACACAAGGCATCTTCTCTGAGATTCTTTCAAACAAACAACTTAAAAAAAAAACACAAGGGATCCCACAAATTATTTGAAATAACTTCAAAAACAAAATAAAAAGATTCCCAGAGGTTCTTTAAAACTGCTTCAAAAAGAAAACAAACGACGTTCCCGAGATTCTTTCAAACTACTTCAAAAACCAGACGCAAGGGGTCACTGAAATTCTTTAAAACTACTTCAAAAATAAAACAAAAGTGGTCCCACAGATTCGCTCAAATTACTTCAAAAACCAGACAGAAGGAGTCATTGACATTCTTCCAAACTACTTCAAAAACCAGACACAAGGGGTCCCTGAGATTCTTTTAAATTGCTTCATAAAGAAAACAAACGAGGTTGCCGTGATTCTTTCAAATTACTTTAAAAACCAGACACAAATTGTCCCTGAGATTCTTTCAAACTACTTCAAAAACCAGTCAAAAGGGGTCCCTGAGATTCTTTCAAACTACTTCAAAAACAAAACAAAAAGGGGTCCACCAGATTCTTTCAAACTACTTCAAAAACAAAACAAAAAAGGTTCCACGAGATTCTTTCAAACTACATCAAAAACCAAACAAAAGGGATCCCTGAGATTCTTTCAAATTACTTCAAAAATCAGATACAAGGCATCTCTGAGACTCTTTCAAGCAAACAACTTAAAAAAACACAAGGGATCCCACAAATTATTTGAAATTACTTCAAAAACAAAATAAAAATAGTCCCGGAGATTCTTTCAAACTACTTCAAAAACAAAACAAAAAGGGATAACCCAGATTCTTGTAAACTGCTTTAAAAAACAAGCATAAAGTGCCCTCAGATCCTTTAAAACTACTTAAAAAACAAAACAAAAGGGGTCCCTGAGATTCTTCCAGACTACTTCAAAAACAAAACACAAGGGCCCCGCAGGTTCTTTCAAACTAAGAAAACAAATAATTTTCCCGAGATTCTTTCAAACTGCTAGGCTTTTCGATTTCTCAACGTTGAGACTTCGGTTTTCTAGGTTTTTGATTTGTCGAGCAAGAAAATTGAAAAAAACCAGAAGCTGAAATATCGGGAAAATGTAAAATCTATCAATTTAAAAAACGAAAAAATAAAATAATTATGGAGAATTTGTAAAATCGAAAAATTAAAATGTCTAGAAATGGAAAAATAGAGTTTGTAAATTGTCGATTTGCAATTTTTTGGATTTTAATTTTAAATTTTTCGATTTTTAAACTTTTGAATTTTAGAAATTTTCGCATTTTTGTTCATCAACTTTGCAATTCTGTAATTTTTCGAATTTTCAATTTTTCGATTTTTGTTCTACAATTTTGCGATTTTTTGATTTCTCAACGTTGAGACTTCGATTTTCCAGATTTTTGATTTTTCGAGCAAGAAAATTAAAAAACCAGAAGCTGAAATATCGGGAAATTGTAAAATCTACTATAAATTTAAAATGTTTAAAAAAATTGCAAAAACGAAAAATTGAAAAAACGAAAAAATAAAATAATTATGGAGAATTTGTAAAATCGAAAAATTAAATTGTCTAGAAATGAAAAAATAGCATTTGTAAATTTTAGATTTGCAATTTTTCGGATTTTAATTTTAAAGTTTTCGATTTTTAAACTTTTGAATTTTGAAATTTTCGCTTTTTCGTTTTTCAATTTTGCAATTTTATAATTTTTTGGATTTTCAATTTTTCGATTTTTGCTCTACAATTTTGCTATTTTTCGATTTTTCGAGCAAGAAAATTGAAGAAACCAGAAGCTGAAATATCGGCAAATTGTAAAATCTGCTATAAATTTAAAATGTTAAAAAAAAATGCAAAATCGAAAAATTGACAAAAATCCAGAAATTAAATAATTAAGAAGAACTAGTAAATTCGAAAAATTGAAAGGTCTATCAATGGAAAAATAGAACCTGTAAATTTTCAAATTGCAATTTTTCATTCGAATTTTGAAGTTTTCGATTTGCTATCTTTCAGATTTTGATTTTAACGTTTTCGAATTTTAAACTTTTGAATTTTTGAAATTTTCGTTTTTTTCGTTTTTTCAATTTTACGATTTTTCAAGTAAAAAAAAATTGAAAAATCGGAAAATTAAAAAATCTCTAAATTGAAGAAACGAAAGATTGAAAAATGAGAAATTGTTAAATCGAAAAATTAAAATGCCTAGAAATGGAAAATAGGACTTTTTCAATGTAAATTTATAATTTTTCGGTTTTGCAATTTTTAGATTTTTCAAAAAACTCGCTTTTAAATTTTTCGATTTTACCAGTTTTTAGATTTGCAATCTTCCAGTTTTACCATTGTCCAATTTGTAAGTTCTGGATTTCAATTTTAGGAATTTTTGAAATTTTCGTTTTTTCGTTTCTTAGATTTTTCGAATTTTCAACGAAGAAAATAAAAAATCGAAAAATTGAAAAAACGACAAATTGTCAGTACCAGATCATGATTTTCAAAGTACCCTCAGATTCTTTAAAACTACTTCAAAAACCCAACAAAAGGGCCCCACAGGTTCTTTCAAACTACTTCTAAAAGAAAACAAATGATTTTCCCGAGTTTCATTCAAACTACTAGGCAGAAGGGATTCAAACCACTTCAAAAACAAAACACAAGGGGTCCCACAGATTCTTTCAAATTATTTCAAAAACCATACACAAGGGGTCCCTGAAATTTTTTCAAACTACTTCAAAAGCAAAACACAAGGGGTGCCACGGATTCTTTCAAATCATTTCAAAAACTCGGCACAAGTGATCCCCGAGATTCTTTCAAACTGCTTCATAAAGAAAACAAACGAGGTTCCCATGATTCTTTCAAATTACTTCAAAAACCAGGCACAAGGGGTCCCTGAAGTTTTTTCAAACTACTTCAAAAACCAAACAAAAGGGGTCCCTGAGATTCTTTTAAACTACTTCAAAATCAAAACACAAAGTGTCCCATAGATTGTTCCAAATTACTTCAAAAACCAGGCACAAGTGGTGCCCGAGGTTCTTTCAAATTTCTTCAAAAATCAGACACAAGGGATCCCTGAAATTCTTTCAAACAAACTATTTAAAAAAGAAGCATAGAGATTATTTCAAATAACTTTAAAACAACCCATACGAGACACAAGAGGTCCCCGAAATTCTTTCAACTACTTCAAAAAGAAAAACAAGGGGTCCTAGAGATTTAATGATTAACACACTGAAATACTTTTGTGTGACTATGAATTAGTTATAACTTGAAAAAATAACGTCAAACATTTGCACTATTATTATTAAAGGTTCATTATTAAAAATGCACTCTTATCTAAGCGATTATTTATAAAAAAAATTCGCTGTATTATCGTGTTAAAAGTAGTTATTCGTTTCGATAATAGTCGTTAAAAAAGACGCTGATAAAAAGTAAATGACTCAGCATTGAAAGCTAATACAATAATAGGTAATGTTTTTAATGCAAATTTTTGCTTACTCAGCATTTGTTTTTTGTTGTCACCAAAATGGACATGCCATGAACTAATTTGATATGACCTGAGTTAACATGACCTAACTTGATATGACCTGACCTGACTTGATTGATCTGGTTAAGATATTGAAGTATTTGTTCTCTATCGTCATAAATTGCGGTCGTAGAGAGCAAAAAAATTTAAAAATGACAAATTTAGTTCGTACTAATGAAAAATCTCTCCTTCGCCGCCTACGCAGCCCTTCCTACTTCGAATTCGGTTCTCAATCCCACCGACTGCGCCACGTCGTGCCCTCAACCGCCGACTTCACTTTCGCCGCTCTCGCCCGCCGCCACTGCTCGCCTTCTTTGATAAAACAATCAAGAGTGATTCGTTGCCTTTAATTAAAACTCGCGACGAAAAGAATTCCGTTCGTTGTTAATGGGAAATATATTTAAGCACAACACGGGATCAAATCTTAAATCGTACTTTGCGTCCGTAATTTAAAACTCGCTCCAGGCGAAAGATTTACGATCCTTGTTATCTGTTGTGGCCATCTCCTCTCTTTTAACTTTAATTAATTTCTTAATGTGTCCATAAAACATTCAAAACAATCCCGGAGGAATCTCCCGATAATTAAATATACGCGAACACTTAGCAGTTCCTGTTTAGACGAGAGCATTGTCTCGAAAAATCGATGTCGGCCTTGTCATTGGGAAATTGTTGGGCTCGCCGGCATACTTTTGTGATAAGGGTAAGATTTAATTTTGGGGAGTCGACGGAATGTATTAGGGGAGAAGGTCTCCGGATTCTCGGGGAGAGTTGGTTCAAAAATCGCTCCGTAATAATAAACATGGCGAAATTAAGGAAGAAAGTTCCAATTTCCGCTGTCAGGGGCAGCGCTCAACAAAAAATAATTGGCTTTGATTTGGTATTTGCGGTTGTGGTCAGGTCTGGCGGATGTTCGCCGTCAACGCTCGCCTGATGTATTTGAGCGGCATTGCAGGGCGTTTTTTGACGCGTTTAGGAAAACCGAGTCATTTATTAACGCGAACGGACGGTTAATATTAATACAGTTCCAACAAACCGCTGCGATTCAGAAGCGAGGCCGAGGCGAGGGGCGAGAAGACAAACGTTCCGAATGTTCAGCTTCATTACTCGAACATGCATCGTCATTGTTTCAGCTAATGTAACAGAGGAATCGGTTAGTGGAACATTGATTAGTACTAGGTACCGTTAATTAGGCTCCGCATAGACAACACACGCATTCGAATGTGTGGAAACACGGCGGGTTAATAGATTTATGTGTGCTGTCGATTAGGCGGCGCAAAGTTGGCGAGTGTTGCGGTAATTCGGGCCCTAATGCCGAATCCCACCGACTGCGCCATTTGCGCGGCTCCGATCCGCCAATTGACCGACATTTTTCGCCGCCTCCCATAAATATCCCCCGGACCCTCGTCTTCATCCATATACATCGCGCGCATCGAATAAATGTGTATTTCGCAGAATTTAATACGCCCCATAAATAATGCATCGGGCCCAAATTCCGACCCATCTAAAATTATCCAGGCCACTTTTATCTGTCCGAGAACACGCGATATTCCCAATAAGACGCCGCTGCCGGTACAAAGCGTTGCGAACGCGGGACGATAAAGTATGCAAATACCTGGATAATGGCCCTGTGTCATGTAGGGCGTGTTTGTCCTGCGGCCGAACAAGTGTGCCCTAGACCTAAATGCACCATTAGCTTAAGCTCTTTCGTAAATTACCGCGCCGCTGCCGTTCGTTTGCATTGTGGTCTACACTGGAAAATGGCCATAATCGCCCACTAATCACGACGCTGGGTATTTATTGCTTCAAGGGTTGCTAGACACGACAATTACGTTTTAGGAATTAATCCGATTAATTATGAATTGGGGTGAGTGTGACGTGTGAGGCGGGAGAGGGGACACAGACGAAAGGTCGGGGAGTCGAATTCGACGGAAGGGTGTGCGAATTCGCTAAACTGATTTCTCCCTATCTCTCTCTCACTCTTCTACTATTTCTCTATCTCACTGTGTCCTTGTCGTTCTACCTGTCAGTACTCTGACTCTTCGTGTTACTGTTTTTGTTTCTATATCTTCGTCTATTTATTTCTATGTTGGCTCAAGCAAGGTTAGTTCAGGTCAGTTATGTTATGTCGAGTCAGGTAAGGTCAGGTCAGGTCAGGTCAGGTCAAGACAGTTGGGACCCCTGAGAAGGTTTCACGTTCTTTAAAAAAAAAGACAGTTGGGGTCCCCGAGAAGGTTTCACCTTATTAAAAAAAAACAGCTGGGATCCCCGAGGTTTTCCAGTTAGGTTTCACATTCTGTCCAAAAAATACATTTGGGGCCCACGAAGTTTTACCTTATTTAAAGAAAAACGGTTAGGCCTCCCGAGAAGGTTTCACTTTACTTAGAAAAAGACAATTGGGGCCCCGAGAAGGTTTCATTCTTAAAAAAGATATTGTTCGAATCCCTGGGAAGGTTTCATGTTCTTTAAAAAAAGACAGTTGGGTCCTCGAAGAAGGTTTCACCTTATTTAAAATCAGAGAGTTGGAACCCCCGAGGTTTTATTCTTCAAAAAACAGTTGGGACCTCTGAGAAGATTTCACCTTCATTAAAAGAAACACATTTGGGACTCCCGAGATTGTTTCGGCTTATTTAGGAAAAGAGAGTTGGAACCCCTGAGAAGGTTATATTCTTAAAAAAAAACAGTTGAGACCTCTGAGAAGATTTTACCTTTATTAAAACAGACACAGTTGGCATTCCCGAGAACGTTTCAGCTTATTTAAGAAAAGAGAGTTGGGAGCCTTGAGAAGATTTCATTTTTAAAAAAGACAGTTGAAATCCCACTGAAGTTTTCACAGTCTTCAAAAAAGGACAGTTGGGGGCCCCGAGAAGATTTGACAATCTTTGAAAAGACAGTTGGGACTCCGGGATGGTTTTATTCTCAAAAAAAGATTGTTGGGACCCCTGAGAAGGTTTTATGGGACCTCTGAGAAGATTTCACCTTCATTAAAAAAACACATTTGAGAGCCCCGAGATTGTTTCAGCTTATTTAAGAAAAGAGAGTTGGAACCCCTGAGAAGGTTATACTCTTAAAAAAAAAGACAGTTGAGACATCTGAGAAGATTTTACCTTTATTAAAAGAGCCACAGTTGGCACTCCTGAGAACGTTTCAGCTTATTTAAGAAAAGAGAGTTGGGAGCCTTGAGAAGGTTTCATTTTTGAAAAAGACAGTTGAAATCCCACAGAAGTTTTCACAGTCTTCAAAAAAAGACAGTTGGGACTCCGGGATGGTTTTATTCTTAAAAAAAGATTGTTGGGACCCCTGAGAAGGTTTTATGGGACCTCTGAGAAGATTTCACCTTCACTAAAAAAACACATTTGAGAGCCCCGAGATTGTTTCAGCTTATTTAAGAAACGAGATTTGGAACCCCTAAGAAGGTCATATTCTTAAAAAAAAAGACAGTTGAGACCTCTGAGAAGATTTTACCTTTATTAAAACAGCCACAGTTGGCACTCCTGAGAACGTTTCAGCTTATTTAAGAAAAGAGAGTTGGGAACCTTGAGAAGGTTTCATTTTTGAAAAAGACAGTTGAAATCCCACAGAAGTTTTCACAGTCTTCAAAAAAAAGACAGTTGGGGGCCCCAAGAAGATTTGACATTCTTTGATAAGACAGTTGGGACTCCGGGATGGTTTTATTCTTAAAAAAAGATTGTTGGGACCCCTGAGAAGGTTTCATTCTTAAAAAAACAGTAGGGACATCTAAGCAGATTTCACCTTCATTAAAAGAAACACATTTGGGAAGCCGGAGATTGTTTCAGCTTATTTAAGAAAAGAGAGTTGGAACCCTTGAGAAGGTTATATTCTCAAAAACAAGACAGTTGAGACCTCTGAGCAGATTTTACCTCTATTAATAGAGACACAGTTGGCACCCCTGAGAACGTTTCAGCTTATTTAAGAAAAGAGATTTGGGAGCTTTGAGAAGGTTTCATTTTTAAAAAAGACAGTTGAAATCTCACAGAAGTTTTCAGTCTTCAAAAAAAAGACAGTTGGGGGCCCCGAGAAGATTTGACATTCTTTGAAAAGACAGTTGGGACTCCGGGATGGTTTTATTCTTAAAGAAGGTTTTATTCTTAAAAAAACAGTTGGGACCTCTGAGAAGATTTCACCGTCATTAAAAGAAACACATTTGGGACCCCCGAGATTGTTTCAGCTTATTTAAGAAAAGAGAGTTGGAACCCCCTGAGAAGGTTATATTCTTAAAGAAAAAGACAGTTGAGACCTCTGAGAAGATTTTACTCTTATTAAAAGAGATACAGTTGGCACCCCTGAGAACGTTTCAGCTTATTTAAGAAAAGAGAGTTGGGAGCCTTGAGAAGGTTTCATTTTTAAAAAAGACGGTTGAAATCCCACAGAAGTTTTCACAGTCTTCAAAAAAAAAGACAGTTGGGGGCCCCAAGAAGATTTGACATTCTTTGATAAGACAGTTGGGACTCCGGGATGGTTTTATTCTTAAAAAAAGATTGTTGGGACCCCTGAGAAGGTTTTATGGGACCTCTGAGAAGGTTATATTCTTAAAAAAAAGACAGTTGAGACCTCTGAGAAGATTTAACCCTTATTAAAAGAAACACATTTGGCACCCCCGAGATTGTTTCAGCTTATTTAAGAAAAAAGAGTTGAAACCCCTGAGAAGGTTATACTCTTAAAGAAAAGACAGTTGGGACCTCTGGGAATATTTTACCTTCATTAAAAGAGGCAGAGTTGGCACCCCTGAGAACGTTTCAGCTTATTTAAGAAAAGAGAGTTGGGAGCCTTGAGAAGGTTTCATTTTTAAAAAAGACAGTTGAAATCCCACAGAAGTTTTCAGTCTTCAAAAAAGGACAGTTGGGGGCCCCGAGAAGATTTGACATTCTTTGAAAAGACAGTTGGGACTCCGGGATGGTTTTATTCTCAAAAAAAGTTTGTTGGGAACCCTGAGAAGGTTTTATTCTTAAAAAAAACAGTTGGGACCTCTGAGAAGATTTCACCTTCATTAAAAGAAACACATTTGGGACCCCCGAGATTGTTTCAGCTTATTTAACAAAAGAGAGTGGGAACCCATGAGAAGGTTATATTCTTAAAAAAACAGTTGGGGTCCCCGAAGAGATTTCACCTTATTTAAAAAAAAAACAGCTGGGATCCCCAAGAAGGTTTTCAAGTTAGGTTTCACATTCTGTCCAAAAAATACATTTGGGGCCCACGAAGTTTTACCTTATTTAAAGAAAAACGGTTAGGACTTCCGAGAAGGTTTCACTTTACTTAGAAAAAGACAATTGGGGCCCCGAGAAGGTTTCATTCTTAAAAAAGATATTGTTCGAATCTCTGGGAAGGTTTCATGTTCTTTAAAAAAAGACAGTTGGGTCCCCCAAGAAGGTTTCACCTTATTTAAAATCAGAGAGTTGGGACCCCCGAGGTTTTATTCTTAAAAAAACAGCTGGGACCTCTGAGAAGATTTCACCTTCATTAAAAGAAACACATTTGGGACCGCCGGGACTGTTCCAGCTTATTTAGGAAAAGAGAGTTGGAACCCCTGAGAAGGTTATATTCTTAAAAAAAAGACAGTTGAGACCTCTGAGAAGATTTTACCTTTATTAAAAGAGACACAGTTGGCATCCCTGAGAACGTTTCACAGCTTATTTTAGAAAAGAGAGTTGGGAGCCTTGAGAAGGTTTCATTTTTGAAAAAGACAGTTGAAATCCCACAGAAGTTTTCAGTCTTCATAAAAAGACAGTTGGGGGCCCCGAGAAGATTTGACAGTCTTTGAAAAGGCAGTTGGAACTCCGGGATGGTTTTATTCTTAAAAAAAGATTGTTGGGACCCCCGAGAAGGTTTTATTCTTAAAAAAACAGTTGGGACCTCTGAGAAAATTTCAGCTTCATTAAAAGAAACACATTTGGGACCCCCGAGATTGTTTCAGCTTATTTAAGAAAAGAGAGTTGGAACCCCTGAGAAGGTTATATTCTTAAAAAAAAAGACAGTTGAGACCTCTGAGAAGATTTTACTTTTATTAAAAGAGACACAGTTGGCACCCCTAAGAACGTTTCAGCTTATTTAAGAAAAGAGGGTTGGGAGCCTTGAGAAGGTTTCATTTAAAAAAAAAAACAGTTGAAATCCCACAGAAGTTTTCACAGTCTTCAAAAAAAGACAGTTGGAGGCCCCGAGAAGATTTGACATTCTTTTAAAAGACAGTTGGGACCCCGGAATGGTTTTATTCTTAAAAAAAGATTGCTGGGACCCCTGAGACGGTTTTATTCATAAAAAAACAGTTGGGACCTCTGAGCAGATTTCACCTTCATTAAAAGAAACACATTTGGGACCCCCGAGATTGTTTCAGCTTATTTAAGAAAAGAGAATTGGAACCCCTGAGAAGGTTATATTCTTAAAAAAAAACAGTTGGGGTCCCCGAAAAGATTTCACCTTATTTAAAAAAAAAAAACAGCTGGGATTCCCGAGAAGGTTTTCAAGTTAGGTTTCACATTCTGTCCAAAAAATACAGTTGGGGCCCACGAAGTTTTACCTTATTTAAAGAAAAACGGTTAGGACTGCCAAGAATGTTTCACTTTACTTAGAAAAAGACAATTGGGGCCCCGAGAAGGTTTCATTCGTAAAAAAGATATTGTTCGAATCTCTGGGAAGGTTTCATGTTCTTTAAAAAAATACAGTTGGGTCCTCCAAGGTTTCACTTTATTTAAAATCAGAGAGTTGGGACCCCCGAGGATTTATTCTTAAAAAAAACAGTTGGGACCTCTGAGAAGATTTCACCTTCATTAAAAGAAACACATTTGGGACCCCCGAGACTGTTCCAGCTTATTTAGGAAAAGAGAGTTGGAACCCCTGAGAAGGTTATATTCTTAAAAAAAAGACAGTTGAGACCTCTGAGAAGATTTTACCTTTATTAAAATAGACACAGTTGGCATCCCTGAGAACGTTTCACAGCTTATTTTAGAAAAAAGAGTTGGGAGCCTTGAGAAGGTTTCATTTTTGAAAAAGACAGTTGAAATCCCACAGAAGTTTTCACAGTCTTCAAAAAAAGACAGTTGGGGGCCCCGAGAAGATTTGACATTCTTTGAAAAGACAGTTGGGACTCCGGGATGGTTTTATTCTTAAAAAAAGATTGTTGGGACCTCTGAGAAGGTTTTATTCTTAAAAAAACAATTGGGACCTCTGAGAAGATTTCACCTTCATTAAAAGAAACACATTTGGGACCCCGAAGATTGTTTCAGCTTATTTAAGAAAAGAGAGTTGGAACCTCTGAGAAGGTTATATTCTTTAAAAAAAGACAGTTGAGACCTCTGAGAAGATTTTACCTATATTAAAAGAGACACAGTTGGCACTCCTGAGAACGTTTCAGCTTATTTAAGAAAAGAGACAGAGTTGGGAGCCTTGAGAAGGTTTCATTTTTAAAAAAACAGTTGGAACCTCTGAGAAAATTTCACCTTCAATAAAAGAAACACATTTGGGACCCCCGAGATTGTTTTAGCTTATTTAAGAAACGAGAGTTGGAACCCCTAAGAGGGTTATATTCTTAAAAAAAAGACAGTTGAGACGTCTGAGAAGATTTTACCTTCATTAAAAGAAACACATTTGGGACCCCCGAGATTGTTTCAGCTTATTTAAGAAAAGAGAGTGGGAAGCCCTGAGAAGGTTATATTCTTAAAAAAAAGGACAGTTGAGACCTCTGAGAAGATTTTATCTTTATTAAAAGAGACACAGTTGGCACCCCTGAGAACGTTTCAGCTTATTTAAGAAAAGAGAGTTGGGAGCCTTGAGAAGGTTTCATTTTTGAAAAAGACGGTTGAAATCCCAAAGAAGTTTTCACAGTCTTCAAAAAAAGACAGTTGGGTGCCCCGAGAAGATTTGACATTCTTTGAAAAGACAGTTGGGACTCCGGGATGGTTTTATTCTTAAAAAAAGATTGTTGGGACCCCTGAGAAGGTTTTATTCTTAAAAAAACAGTTGGGACTTCTGAGAAGATTTCACCTTCGTTAAAAGAAACACAATTGGGAACACCGGAGATTGTTTCAGCTTATTTAAGAAAAGAGAGATGGAACCCCTGAAAAGGTTATAGTCTTAAAAAAAAGACAGTTGAGACCTCTGAGAAGATTTTACCTTTATTAAAAGAGACACAGTTGGCACCCCTGAGAACGTTTCAGCTTATTTAAGAAAAGAGAGTTGGGAGCCTTGAGAAGGTTTCATTTTTGAAAAAGACGGTTGAAATCCCAAAGAAGTTTTCACAGTCTTCAAAAAAAGACAGTTGGGTGCCCCGAGAAGATTTGACATTCTTTGAAAAGACAGTTGGGACTCCGGGATGGTTTTATTCTTAAAAAAAGATTGTTGGGACCCCTGAGAAGGTTTTATTCTTAAAAAAACAGTTGGGACTTCTGAGAAGATTTCACCTTCATTAAAAGAAACACATTTGGGACCCCGGAGATTGTTTCAGCTTATTTAAGAAAAGAGAGATGGAACCCCTGAAAAGGTTATAGTCTTAAAAAAAAAGACAGTTGAGACCTCTGAGAAGATTTTACCTTTATTAAAAGAGACACAGTTGGCACCCCTGAGAACGTTTCAGCTTATTTAAGAAAAGAGAGTTGGGAGCCTTGAGAAGGTTTCATTTTTAAAAAAGACAGTTGAAATCCCACAGAAGTTTTCACAGTCTTCAAAAAAAGACAGTTGGGGGCCCCAAGAAGATTTGGCATTTTTGAAAGACAGTTGGGACTCCGGGATGGTTTTATTCTTAAAAAAAGATTGTTGGGACCCCCGAGAAGGTTTTATTCTTAAAAAAACAGTTGGGACCTCTGAGAAGATTTCACCTTCACTAAAAGAAACACATTTGGGACCCCCGAGATTGTTTCAGCTTGTTTAAGAAAAGAGAGTGGGAACCCCTGAGAAGGTTATATTCTTAAAAAAAAGACAGTTGGGGTCCCCGAAAAGATTTCACCTTATTTAAAAAAAACAGCTGGGATCCCCGAGAAGGTTTTCAAGTTAGGTTTCACATTCTGTCCAAAAAATACAGTTGGGGCCCACGAAGTTTTACCTTATTTAAAGAAAAACGGTTAGGACTCCCGAGAAGGTTTCACTTCACTTAGAAAAAGACAATTGGGGCCCCGAGAAGGTTTCATTCTTAAAAAAGATATTGTTCGAATCCCTGGGAAGGTTTCATGTTCTTTAAAAAAAGACAGTTGGGTCCTCCAAGAAGGTTTCACCTTATTTAAAATCAGAGAGTTGGGACCCCCGAGGTTTTATTCTTAAAAAAACAGTTGGGACCTCTGAAAAATTTCACATTCTCCAAAGAAGACAGTTGGGGCCCTCGAGAAGATTTTACATTCTTTAAAAAAAGACAGTTGGTGGCTCCGAGAAGTTTTCAGACTCTTAAATAAGACAGCTGGGATCCCCGAAACTTTCACTAAAAAAAATAGTAGGTTCCCGAGATTTCACCTTCTAAAAAAAGATAATAGTTGTGGTCCTCGAGAAAGTTTCACGTTCTTAAAAAAAAAAGACAGTTGAGGCCACTGACAGGTTCATATTCTTCAAAAAAAGAAAGTCTGTTATGGTACAGGATCAAAATTTTCCAGATATTTAGTCTTCGTCCGAAATTTTTTTTTTTCAAAATTCGGAAAGTAGCCATATTCAGTTGGCCATTCTGGAGGAATGATAATAATTTTCAAAAAAATGAGAACGAAAATAACTTCTGGGCGTCGACCTAAAAGAGTATGACCTACTTAACCTGACCTGAGATGAGTTGATTTGGCATGACCTGAGGCGACGTGACCTTACTTGATTTTTTGCGAATTTTTTGACTACCTTCGACAATAAGATAAACATATTTTTGTAGTGTATATAACTATAAGGAAAGGTTACGAGGTAAAAAGGTAAAATCAATTAAAACACTTACACAGTTACCAAAATATATTCCCAAAATGAATCAAGCCCAAACTTGTTAACTACTATCTACAACGAGAAACACGTAACCTGGCTAAATACCGAATACGCAGCAGAAATACGTGATTGAACTCTTGATGATGGCCTTCGGTTCCTTGATCAGCTTCTTCCCTCCGATGCAAATCAACATTTCAGGCATGCCTGAAGCGAGAGACAACCCCGTCTTCCCTCCAGCCAATGCCACGCCACCCATGCTTGTGCCCGCCTTGCCAAAAAAGTCTATTACATTTTTGCCCAACCCAGTAAGAGTGTCCGCGTTAGAAATGTTGCCGATCGCCCCAGGTAAACACTGAATTTGCGATTTAACCTTGCCTCCTAGAGTTTTCACATTGTCAAGAGGTTTAGGGAATGTTGCAAAACATGTCAACGCCTCTTGAATTCCACTCTGGACGAACTTATCCGATGTGGATTCGGCCCAACACTTGCCGTCCAACTTCAGCTGGTTCCTTAAAAAGTTGCCGCCTAAGAGTGAGGGCCACTTTTTGAACACAAAGTCTCTAATGTTTTTGGGACCTGAGAAGCCGGTGTCAATCAGGTCCTGCGTGGTTTCGGACATGACCTTCGAAGCAAGCTTGCCGAAAACAGTGAGGCACAACTCTATATTGTCTATGCCTTCGCCCATTCGGTCGAAGCCTTTGAGTACGATAACCCAGATACCTTTGAAAGGGTTGTCGATCTCCGTAGGAGTGGGATTTTGAGAGCAGGCCAAGCCTAGCAGAAGCTGCAAAGTGGGCGAGTGAGGGTGCGTCGAAGTAAAGGTATACTTACAAAAAAGACGAAGGAAAAACGGGTCGCCATGACAAGTTCGATTGGACAAAGATAAGAACTGCAGTTTTTGCTGGATTGGCGGTCTTATATAACGTGGAGTTAATGGTTTTTGAATTGCGTAATGACACCATGATAATGTGGCTTTTATGGAATGGTATGGAAAGAGCTTTTGATAAAGAGGCGATAGGAGGTGATAAAGTAAATTGCGTATATATATAACCTTGTTTTTTATATATATAATTGGTTCCGCGGGTACTGCGATGTTCGAAAACGTCAATTTTTCATGTGAAGGTAAATAGGATCATAGTAGGCGCATTAAAAAGTCAAGGGTTAAGGACCCTTGCAACTATAAAAATTCGATCGAAGGTTATCACCACATAACTTCCTTCGCCATAAATTTCTGTTTTATTCTTTATTTTTTTCGTTTCTTATTCTTTTATTTCTGTTCAGTATGGGATCCACTTTCTATCACATCAGTTGAGGTGAATTACTGAAATGGAGGCGGGGTGGGTGGGGGGGATTTAATTATATGTTCTGTAGAATGGGAGTGGGATTGTAAAAAACGAAGAAAAAAAACGGTACCCGTAATTTTTTTGTTACGCTATTTACTTTAAGATTTATATCTTATTTTCGAAGAAAATATGAGAGCGGGTGGGTGGGCGGGGAGTCGTTGATAAACCCATACACCTCCCCTTCATTCTAGTGACCACTTTTAATATTGTTCAATCTTTTCTTAGCATGTAGTAGCCCCGCCCACCCACCCTCTCTTTTCTTAGAAGGTACGTGGCCTGAGAACTTGTTTGATCTACAGACCATAGCGCACTCAGGCCAATATCGACTCTAAGCGATTTATATACAAGCCGACTTTCTACTACGAAGAACTAACCCGTTTCGACCATCCGGTCGGACTTAACAATGAATAAGCGAACAAAGTCCTTGAATATTCTTCAAGTTATCGATTTCCCGATTTTTTTTTTATTTTTTAATTTCTTCAATTTTACGATTTTTGAATATTTCGATTTTTCAATTTTTTTCAAACTTTTTAATTTCTCAATTTTTTTGGATATTTCTTTCAGTTTTGGGATTTTTCAACATTTCGATTTATGGACTCGTGGATTTTTTGATTTTTCAATTTTTCAACTTTTCGATGTTCAATTCTTTAATTTTCCGAATTTTTACGTTTTCGATTTTCCAATTTATCCTTTTTAAAATTTTCCGACTTTTCAATTTTTTGATGTTTCAATTTATAACTTTTCTTCACAACTTTCGATTCCTCGATTTCTCGATCCTGTGATTTTTCGATATCTCGATAACACAGTTTTTGAATTTTTCTGTTTCGATTTTTGGATTTCTCGGCTTTTCGATTTTTAACTTTTGGGTTTTCCAATTTTTCGATGTATCGATTTTTCAATTTTTTAATTGTGGAATTTCAATTTCTCGATTTGTCAGTTTTTCAGTTTTTCGATTTTTACTTCCCGAGCGTAAGCAAAGGAAGTATTGTAATCGAGTCCGTCGGCCAACTCTCTACTTTTACGTTTTCTCGATGTTTCATGACCCCTAGAAGACGAAGAAATTGGTCTCCCATTTCCGTCTGTCTGTCCGTCTGTCTGCCGTCCCGGATTTTTATTAGACATCATCCCCACCACTAATGCGATGACGTCACTTCAAACTCGTACATAGTAAATAGTAGTTTTTACCCGAAACTTCCAGATTTTTGGAAAAAAAATCAAAATTATAAAACAACATTTGGCAATTTAATTTTGAATCTGCTAACCCGAATGTTTTGAAATGTTGCAGATGTTTTAAGGCTATAAAGAGCATCATAAATCTTTAGTCAAAATATATTTGGTTATCCCTTCCAAAAACTTCATGACGTCAGCTCATAAGTATTTACGAAAATTTTGACTTATTTCGATCATAAACACACTGTTTTTGGATCCAGTTCTGAATTTTTTGCGGATTGCGGTAAATTTCGATCCCTGAAAGATATTTTAGACCTCATTTTCTCGAAAAATCCTATCACTTCTCCAGAATCGCCAAATGAAAAATAGTAATTTTAAGAAATTAAGAAAAATGACTTTCAAACCGAATATTTCTAAAATTTTTGTCCAAGACCATTAACATGTTATATTTTTCAAATCATCACGTCGAGATCTAAGTAGATCTCAAAATTTTTTGTGCATTTTTAGGCAACTTTTCAAAAACCCGTTTTTCTTTCAAAAAAAATTTTGACCTTTCTCTGACCACTTTCGAAATTGACCTAAATCTGTGAAAATAAATGAAAAAGCTCAAGCCACGAAAAATAAAACGACGGAATCACAAAACAACGATGAACGTCGCTGACAGTTTCCTCCCCCTAAATTCATAAGTGAACCCATCCTGACGCTTTGACGTCTATTGCGATGTTCTTCTCCAAGTGTTTCCACTTTGCCTAGAACCTCTTTTTATATATATATATATATATATCGTAGTATAATCTGTACTTGTAATATATCACTCCATTCATATTTTTTGGATTTGCATATACAGAGTGACAAAAAAATTAATAAATGCGTAAATTTATTTTACTGATTTACTCAGGAACCACAAAACCGAATACTTTGAAATCTTAAAGATGTTTTAAAATTATCATAAACATGGTAAATTTTTGATTAAAACGTACTCAAAAAAATTAATGAATGCGTGAATTTATTTTATTGAGTTAATCAGGAACTACAAAACCGAATGCTTTGAAATCTTGCAGATGTTTTAAGGTTATAAAAAGCATAATAAATGTTTAGTCAAAAATTTTTTAATTTGCATATACAGGGTGACTCAAGAAATTAGTGAATGCGTAAATTTATTTTATTGAATTACTCAGGAACTACAAAACCGAATGCTTTGAAATCTTGAAGATGTTTTAAAGTTATCATAAGCATGGTAAGTTTTTGATCAAAATGTATTTGGTAGTCCCCCCTAAAAAATTTATGACGTCACCGCAAAATTATGCTGAATAAATCCTGATTTTCTGGATTTGTTGTTTTTATTATTTGGATTTTCCTAATTTTTCGGAATTCTCGGATTTATTTTTGAGATATTTTTTGGATTTTTTTGGACTGTTCGGATTTTTTAGATGTTTTGATTTTAAATTATTGGATCTTTTGAGTTTCTATGGTTTTTCGGATTTTCGAGTTTTCCGGATATTTTTGATTTCCTTGAATTTTTAGAATTCTCTTAATTTTTCGGAAAAACAAACAATTAAAAAATCTAAAAGTTGAAAATCGAAAAATTATAAAATTATGGAAGTGAAAAATCAAAAACCCAGAAATTTGGAAATCAAAATTTTGGAAAAAAATTAAAAAATCCGATCAATGAAATTCGGATACATTAAAAATTGAAAAATCAGATACCTTAAAAATCAAAAATTATAAAATAAACTGGAAAATTAAACATTTGAAAAATTAAAATTGAAATTTTGAACAATTAAAAATCAAAAAATCAAAAAATTGTTAAATTACAAAATCGAAAAAGTGGAAAATGTGACAACTGAACATCAAAAATAGAAAAATTGTAGTATCTTCTAGGATAAGATTGATTTTGGCAAATGAGCCCCGCCCACCAACCCTCTTTTCTTAGAGAATATGTCATTTGCCAAAATCAGTCTTATCCTAGAAGATACTAGCCCCACCCACCCACCCTCTCTTTTCTTAGAAGGTTTTTCATCTGCCAAAATCAGTCTTATCTTAGTAGCCACTAGCTCCACCCACCTATCCACCCTCTCTTTTCTTAGAAGGTATGTCATTTTCCAAAATCAGTTTTATTTTAGCAGTTAATAGCTAGGATAAGACTGATTTTGGCAGATGAGATACCTTCTAAAAAAAGAGAGGGTGGGTGGGCGGGGCTAGTATTTTCTAGGATAAGACTGATTTTGGCAAATGAGATACCTTCTAAGAAAAGAGAGGGTGGGTGGGCGGGGCTAGTATCTTCTAGGATAAGATTGATTTTGGCAAATGAACCCTTCCCACCAATCCTCTTTTCTTAGAGGAAATGTCATTTGCCAAAATCAGTCTTATCCTAGAAGATACTAGCCCCACCCACCCACCCTCTCTTTTCTTAGAAGGTTTTTCATCTGCCAAAATCAGTCTTATCTTAGTAGCCACTAGCTCCACCCACCCAGCCACCCTCTCTTTTCTTAGAAGGTATGTCATTTTCCAAAATCAGTTTTATTTTAGCAGTTAATAGCTAGGATAAAACTGATTTTGGCAGATGAGATACCTTCTAAGAAAAGAGAGGGTGGGTGGGCGGGGCTAGTATCTTCTACGATAAGATTGATTTTGGCAAACAAACCCTTCCCACCAACCCTCTTTTCTTAGAGGAAATGTCATTTGCCAAAATCAGTCTTATCCTAGAAAATACTAGCCCCGTCCACCCACCCTTTGTTTTCTTAGAAGACTAAAATGTAGAAAATATGATGAGTCTCTTCTTGCGATTTATCATTCCGTTCATATTTTTTCGATTTGCATATACAGGGTGACCCAAAAAAATAATGAATGCGTAAATAAATTTTATTGATTTACTCAGGAACTACAAACAAATTTTAGACTTTCCAGTTTTTATTTTTTTGATTTCTTCAAGTTTGGATTTCTCGATTTTGCAATAAATTCGATATTTGAATTTTTCAACGTTTTAAATTTTAGATTTTTCGATTTCTCTATATTGAGGATCTGAAAAATCAAACTTTTGATCTTTTAATTTTGCCGTCTTGGTTTTTCGATTTTAACATTTTTTCGAGTTTTCGATTTTCCACTAGTATTGCTAATTTAGGACGTTTTATTAGTATCAAACACAATTAAAGAAGTAATTCTTAACTAAACAAAAAAAAAGTTGCATGTCAAAATTGACTGAAATATGTGAGTCGACTCTGGTCTGTGCATCAAACAAGTTCTCATACGACGATTTGCCAACAACAGTCTTAGCAAGTACTAACAGACAGACAGACAGACAGATGGACAGACCGACAGACGGACGGAAACTTCCGCTCATGAAGTAAAAACTTACTAAAATTGTATTTACAACATTTTCACTGTTTTTGTGAGACTCGGGCTGGCTCTGAAGCCTAATTAGCTCAATCAATTTTGATTGAAAAATGTAAACATGTTTATCGCGTTTAAGAAACCTTCACCGCACTAAATCGATAATAGTGAAAATATTGTGGCTTCCAGGCTCCACCGTGGTGGCCAACCAGGCGGCCGTCAGCCACGACAACCCCGGGGACAACGGCTTGTCGTACCAGCAGCTCCTCCAGCAGCGCGAAGAAGAGAACCGCCAGGAGGTGGAGCGCCTCACTGCCGAAATCAGAGCGCTCAAACTCCAGCTACTCCAGCTCACAAACGGTAAGTATCCGCAAACAGTGGCTGCAGAAAATCGATCCACCAAGTTTTGTTGTCTTCCACAGCGCATGCAACATTTAAAGTTTCATGTTCGCGATTTACCGTGGTCGTACGTACGCGAATCTATTATCTAAGCATCTCTTAATAGTCGGAAAGATTGATGAGTTGCGCCGTCGAAATGCATCCACTTTTTCCCTCTCACGTAATCCGGCGATTTTTTCAAGTCAAACACCAGAACACGGGCTTTGATCACGGAAGGATCATTTATTAAATTCTTGTTTAGAGAAAAGAGACGTCAGGCGGAGAATATTTAACAGCCGGGAGAAATATTTGCTTGCGTCTGGAGGGTTTGTTATGATTTTGAAGAAGTTGTTTGACAGAAAAACGATTTTTGCGATTACAAAAAAAAAAAAAAAACGAAACTGCAGCCAAAAGGAAAGCAAACATAGAGACGACGCTGTTTGAGTGTGTCTCACAGACGGAATTCTCTTAGTAGTAGAACGTAATCTACGTACATATTACCGACTACCGTTAATCAGCTTAAGATCACAGCGCTGCTTTATGTTAAAAAGGCAGCTTCCTAGTCTAGGATCGTAGTAATTAACGAACGAGCAAACAGGTCGCTCGAGTAAACGCGAATCCTGAGCTGTGTACAAATTCGGAATAGATCCGCCATCGCTCTTCATTAAAAAGCACAAAGAAAAATAGTTTTCAGGGGTATCGCGATAACGTTGCGCAGAATTGACGTTTCACTACAATTAAAACTATAAATACGGGTTATGGTTGCTTTTATTTAACGCAACTAGTAATTTTATGGATAACCTAAACCCGATAAAAGTGTTTTCGTTGCATTTCAAAATAGGCGACCATGAAAACTTCTGTGCGTGGCGCTCATCCCCGCCGAGAGTGTGATGACGTCACCAGATGAATTCTGATTGGAAATTTGCTATACTGACGATGAAAATAGTAAAATTTTGTGATAAGATAAAGTTAAAAGTAAAGGAATTGGCGATATTGGAAAATTTTCCATTAAGAATTAAAAACTAAATAAAATTGGTCTAAGGTTTTTTCGACAGAAGTGCAGCCCAACAAATCCTGCTTCTTTGAAAAATTATCATTTTTTTGCGATTTTTGTTTCTAATAACCTCTATAAAATAAAAACCAGTGTCCAATTTTTCGGTTTGCAATTTTTCATTTTTTCATTTTTTTTTCTTCAATTTTACAATACATATTAATATTAATTAATTTTTAAAATGTTTCACTTTTTCAATTTTACGATTAATATAATTTTTCCATTTTTTTTATTTCATGTTTTAAAGAATCAGTATTTTTATTTTTGATTTTTCAGTTATCAGATTTTCCAATTTCCCGATTTTTCATTTTTCAACTATTCGATTTTTCAATGTATCTAATAATTTTGCAATTTTTCATAAATTTTCGAGTTTACGATTATTGGTTTTTCAATTTTGTATTCTTACAATTTTTCAATTTTTTGATTTTTAATTGTGTTCAAGTGTTTCATTTTTTTATTTAATTATTTTACAATTTTTCGTTTTTAAAGGCATCCGATTTTTCAATTATCCGAATTTATTGTTTCGATTTTTTAAGTTTTTGATTTTTAATAACTCAATTTCGGATTTTGGTTTTAGATTTTTCAATTTTTGGAATAAAAAAAATTTAAAAATTCCAAAACTGCAAAAAATGGAAAAATTAAAAATGGAAAAACGGAAATATGTAAAATGATAATTTTGAAAATCCTAAAAATCGGAAATCAAGAACTCCAAAAATTGAAGCAACGAAAAATTCAAAAATTTGCTATAATTTTTCTGTTTTTCAGTGTGAAATTTTTCAGTTCTTGGATTTGTCAATTTTTCGGTATTCAGTTTGTTAGTATTTCGGTTTTTCAGTTTTTCGATTTTCCAATTTTTCCTTTGGACAATTTTTGATTTTCAATTTTTTAGTTTTCATTTTAAAAATGCAATAATTATTATGATTTTTAAAATGTTTCACTTTTTCTATTTTAAAATTTTAGAATTTTTTCATTTTCAGTCATTTGACTTTTCATTTTTCAATTTTTCGATTCTTCAGTGTTACGGATTTTCAATTTCTCAATTCTGCAGGTTTTAGTGAATCAATTTTTCTACTTTTGATTTTTCAGTTATCAGATTTTCCGCTTTCTCGATTTTTCAATTTGTCTAAGAATTTTGCAATTTTTCATTTTTACAGTTAAATTTTCGAGTTTACAATTAGGTATCCGATTTTTCGGTCTTGTAATTTTACTATTTTTCAATTTTTTCATTTTTAATTGTTCAAAATTGCAACTTTACTTTTTTATAAGTGTTTAATTTTCCATTTTAGTCATTTTATAATTTCTCATTTTTAAAGGTATACGATGTTTTAATTTTAGATGTTCCAATTTTCCGAATTACATTGATTCGATTTTTTAATTTTTTGGTTTCTATTATTCCAAAATTTTAATTTCCAATTTTCTGCGTTTTTGATTTTTCAATTCTATAATTTTGCAATTTTTCGATTTTCAATTTTGCAATTTTTTATTTTACAGTTGTCTGATTTTTCAGTGTTATAATTTTACAGTTACACGCTTTTTCGGTGTTGTAATTTTGCATTTTTTTAATTTTTCATGTTTATTTTCCGGTTTTCAATTTTTTGTTTTTTCATTTTAGATTTCTCAATTTTTTGTTTCTTCAATTTTTTATCTGCAGTTTTCTAGTTTTCATTTTAAATATGTGAGACATAATAACAATTATAATTTTTAAAATGTTTGATTTATTCAATTTTACGAGTTTAGAGTTTTTCCATTTTCGAATTATTGGATTTTAAAACTTTTATTAATTCAATTTTTCAATTTTTCGATCTTTTAGTGTTATAGATTTTCGATTCTCTAATTTTTCAATTTTACAATATTTGGATTTTCTAATCTTTTTTTGCAATTTTTCAATATTCCAGTTTTCGATTTTGCAATTTTTCCACTTTTCAGTTTCGCGATTTTTCAACTTTTCAATAAAAAAATGGAATCTTTGCAGAATTCCAAAAAATCAAAAAAACAAAAATGTATAAAATGAAAACTTTGAAAATTTTAAAAACTGGACGTCAAGAATTTGAAAAATTAAAGAAAGGAAAAATTCAAAATTCGGAAAATTAAAATTGAGAGACTTAAAAATCGGAAAAGTGCAAAATCGAAAAAGCGAAACATGAAATATTGCAAATTATAGAAATTGGAAAATCGTATAAACTGAAAAATCGAAAAATTGAATAATCGAAAATTTGAAAAATCGTAAAACCGAAATATCGGAAAATTGCAGAATGCAAAAAAATCGAGAAATTCAAAGTGTGAAAAGTCGAGCAATTGAAGAATCGAGAAATTGGAAGATCCCAAAAGTAAAATATCAAAAAATTGAGTAATTGAAAAATCGATGAATATAATCAAAAATCAAAAATTTGGGAAAATTGAGTAATTGAAAAATCGAAAAAGTGGAAAATCAAAAATCGAAAGCCCAAAAAATCGAAAAATTCAAAAATAAAAAAATTTAAAGAATTGAAATTTAAAAAGTCAAAACATTGGAATTTCAAAAAATAGAGATATAGGAAAATCGAAAACTCGAAAAGTCGAAATTTAAAGAATCGAAATATTGAAAAATCCTAAATCTGAAATATAGAAAATCTGATATATCTATAAATCGAAAAATCAAAAATAGAAAAGTCGAAAAAACAAAAAATCGGAAATTTAAAAATTCGGAAAAAATTTTGAAAATAGGATAATCGAAAACTGAACTGAAAAACCGAAAAATCTAAAAATCGAGGAATCGAAAAGTCGAGAAATCAAAACGTCGAAATGTCGAGAAATCGAGAAATAGGAAAATCTAAAAATCGATTGTTAATCAACAAATTGAAAAATCGTGTATTTAGGAACACCAAAAATTGGAAAATTGAAATATCGAAAACTTGAGAAATCAAAAAGTAAAAAAAAAAACGAGAAATCGAAGATTTGAAAACTCGAGTAACTGAAGAATCGAGAAATTGAAGATGCGAAAAATTAAAAGAACTAAAATTTAAAAGATCCCAAAAATAAAGATATAGGAAAATCGAAAAGTCGAAAAATTGAAAAGCCGAGAAATCGAGAAATCTAAAAGTCCAAGATGTCGGAAAATCGAAAAAAGGGAGAAATCTAAATATGTACACCAAAATCGAAAAATTCAAAATTGAAAAATTGAAAGTTTTAAAATTGAAAAAACCGACAAATTGAAAAATCGAAACACCGAATTCTCGATAGATTGAAAAATAAAAACTGAAAAATTAAAAAATCGAAACTCTTAAAAATAGAAAAAATCTAAAAACCGAAAAACTGAAAAATGGAAAAATAAAAAATTTTAAACCCAAAATTTGAAAAACAGAAATCTATAAGCGAGAACTCAGAAAATCAAAATACCGAGAAATCGAGACATCAAAAAAATCGAAAAATCGAAAATTTAAAAATTCAAAAAATTTAAAAAAAATATCGAACAAGTGAAAATCAGAAATAGAGAAATTGAAAAATTAAAAATTTAAAAAATCTTGAAAAACTGAAAAATAGAAAAATCGGGAAATCGGAAGGGACAAAAATTGAAAAATTGAAAAACAAAAAATTGAATAATCGAAAATTTGAAAAATCGTAAAACTGAAATATCGGAAAATTAAGAAATTAAAAAGTAAAAAAAGCGACAAATCCAAGATTTGAAAACCCTAGCAACTGAAGAATCGAGAAATTGAAGGTGCGAAAAATTAAAAGAACTAAACATTGAAAAATCCCAAAACTGAAATGTCGGAAAATTGGAAAATCGAAAAATTGAAAAGCCGAGAAATCGAGAAAATTTAAAGGTCCAAGATGTCGAAAAATCGAAAAATTAAGAAATAGAAATACACCAAAATTGAAATACACCAAAATCGAAAAATTCAAATTTGGAAATTTAAAAAAAAATTTTTAATTTAAAAATCGGAACACTAAA